TTTAGAAGGTGCTCCTGCAGAGGGTTTTAGGTTGTTCTATATTACTACTGTATTTACCTTACAAATTAGGAAAACTGCAGAAAAACCTAATTCGAAGTAACCGGCAGAATGCTCGAAACTGGTCTAACGTAATTTCCATCTCTGCCACAGATGAAAAATTATTACCTCATCCCAGGTTCGAACACCCGACCTTCCAGCTATGTAGCCCAACGCTCTGCCACTGAGACACATAGCCGGTATGACGGAGAGTGTGTTTATGACACAATTTCTTCGCAATGAGGTCATTGAACGTTCGTTTAATTTGTCAACATTCATCGTTCAGGTAAATCAACGTCTTAACATCCCTACTCAACAGTTGTGTCGGCTAAACGTACCCATTATAAAATTAGTACCTACGAACCTTAAATTCAACAAATCAACATGGTCCTTGAACACACAAAGTGCTTGCGCGAGTACGCAACGAGCTGATACCAAAGAAGTCGGTAACAGCATAGAAACAAATTTGCAAAAGTAAGAGTTGTTGGACTTACTTAAGTTTTTACTCGATACTAAAAAAGGAGCTGATTGTTCACAAATATGTAAATAAGTACTTATACGATTTGGGCATGGGAGTTTCTCAACTGTTTCTAATATCTGTAGAGGGCACAGAATAAGACCTTCAGACTTCAGATTCATTAGTACACTGACAGTACAAAATTTGACAATCCTTTAAATAATGACTGTTCTTCTTAAATGTTGATGTTATAGAAATGAACGACAGAAAAATAACGCCCTTAAGAATTATGATAATTCCCTTGGACGTTAAGGTATTATAATACACCTAAAAACTAGTCAATTAGTCCGTTTGACGAATCAATGCAACGGATGAACGGAGAGCTATGAACCCACCTTTATTGTTTTTGTGAAAACCCTGTAGGTAATGAATGGAGGTGTCCCTCATGATTGAAGATGGGGATTAATGAAGAATACTTTGGAGTTTCGGATGCTTGTTATTTACGAATTACCCTTTAAATTTGATACCTACTCTTTGAGTGAGGTTATTTGGGAGTCATTAACATTAAAGGATTACGTTAACCCGTTGAGTGATGGATCTCTCAACGGTTGTTCTGCACTTCACCTAAGAAGAAGAACCCCCATACTTAAAAAGTAGTCTATATTAAAAGCTTGTGAATGTATTCGTACGCAACAAATTTGTTATATAGGTATTACGTCGGTATTGCAATCGTCACGGTACTAGGTGCATGATTACCTTAAAAGTGCTTGTTTATATCTGCGCCACCCATTCATCATCTATATTCCGCGTGGGGCGCTTTGTAAAGTGTTCTGTACTGTTGAGTTTTGCCGTATAGTATTTTCGCGTTTCTATCCGATGTTTCATGCGTCGTTGAACACAAACTTTACACTTTGTGTCTAAATTCTTTGTATAAAAGGTTATATTTAACAAATAAACATAAATATACATGTGGAGCACTTCACAATTCGTGAAAATGGTACAGTTGTTAACATAAAGATCGCGAGTCTAATAATAAATTATGAGATTAAAACGATCTTTTCACAATTGACCCACAACATCCAGCAGTTAATGCGGGTAGATTGCTACTCATCAGTTCAATCCCAAATGAAGTAGTCTTACATGAAATTATTCATAGCTTTAACCTCATGATAATGGGGGTTTTGGGTCTGAAATCGTCCCTACTCATACACCACAAAAGTCATATTAATACCTATTTGTTTAGGTAAAGCCCTCTTTATTCAGCAATTGACACAGAAATGTACACTACGTTAAGTAGCAGTAACGTATAATAGCCTCGCCGAGAGTAAACTGAAAGTATTGATTAAGTTTAATTGTCTGTTTGAACGATAGACTTCGTTTGCCAACTCTCAATACCTAGAGTAATCCTTGATGTAACTACTAGGACGTTAAATTACGATATGTATAGAGAACAACTATTTTGTGCTAAGAAGCGACTACTTCTGAGAAACTAACCATAATCCTGTTGAAATTGTTTGATGTTTCAAAATTAAGCTTTTGGTTTGATAAAACAAGCGCCCTAATACTTAATTGGCTGAGGGTTGCTTAAATTCAAACTGCTTGCGTTGTGCGTATAGTAGATTTTCCCTCCATTCGCTTTTATAAAAATTCTTCAAAGAAAGGCCCCAAACCTAATTGTTTCCTCTTGATTTACAGTTTACACATTACATTACATATGGAAATCAAACTTTGAATGCTGTGAAGCTGCTTTTTCTAACGAATAAGAAGTTCATAACAAGCAAAAACTTCGTCATGCAATATTTTACACGTTATCGCCTTTTAGATCACTGGATACTGTAGACACTTTGTAGTTATTATAATTATTATGGAACCGAAATGTCCTTGAAGTGAAATAAAGAGCTTCACCTCAAGGACATTTCTTATAATTGTAGGTGTTGCTTAACTTTCTTGTGAAACCTCTGCTTTGCAGATCCTAAAATTCTTATGACGTCATTCCTTATTCTCAGCGAGTTCTACGAATAGGACTTCTGCAACCACATCAACATTGCGGGTTTCCTATGCTCCCAACCCCTTCCTTTTGGAAGAATTCGCTATAGAACGAAATGTTCCTAGATTTTTAGTAAAAATGAACACTGTATGTCGAGGAGACAATTTCAGGAGTTCGTGAATTTTTTATTTGGATGCTACCGTTCGTTTTCAAGCAATCGGCTTTGTTTCCTTGTAAACATCTAAGCACTGTAATTCTGAAATACTTTATCTGCAATTGAAGTATTTTCATGCTTCCAATCTTGTTCAATCCTCTCTGCGTGCCCTGAGCTACTTTCAGCGCAAAGCAATTATTACTATTTCAGAATTTCTTACTCGTTCGCTATCCTGCTCATTCTTTTACTCTTCAACAGTGTTTGCACTACTCCAACTTTCAATGGGACTTGAAATGTTTACAGGACATCCGTTGGTATACATAATAATAATGGTTGAGATGACTAGCTCGCTACAAAAACGGTAGGTTTGAACACTCAAAAAGCATAGGAAACCTTTTAATAAGGATCTCAATCTTCTTCTTCTTTAATGCTGCCGAATAGGGTTTGCGACTTCATTTTGATATTTCTCTCTGTCTCTTGATGTTATCTAGCCAGGCTGATTTCGGTTCTGGCCTTCGATCTTGCCCTCCAGGATGAATGGCAGTAGTTGGTACCAACTGAATCACAGATCACAGCGGGCTTGGTCGCGACATTTGCTTTGGTTCCGTTTCGTCTTTTTCCTTGGATAACTACATATAGAAAATTAGAGAAAAAAAAGGGGGAGTTCTAGCTTAACTTCGATCGCAATAGCGTGCGAGTTTTTTTTCAATTTTTACGATCGCTCAAATTCAATTACGCGGTTCTGAAGAGATCGCCGCAATAAACGCGTGCTGGAGAATATAAAATCAAGAATTCGTCAAAAACGTCTGTGGATAAAGGCCATTCGCTTTAGTGCAACGCGTAAGCATATTCAACTGTTTCATCGCAAGTGATATTAACTCAATTGTGGCACGGAAAAAGTTTGTTGGAAAAGGTTTTTAAATTGCGAACCTATAAAGTGAACTTATCAGGTAAATTCACCGAACGTTTAGTGACCTCATTTTGAGTGGTAGCATAAACAAACTCCGTCGTAAAATGGTCTTCGTTGAAAATTAGAACGGTTAAATCCGATTTGGAGTGGCATTTTGCTTACGAAAAACCTAATAAGCGGAAAGGTTAGCGTGTGCAGGGTAGTTGGAATTTGACTCTTTGTATTTTTATGAGAGAAAATGTACGAGAGCAAGTCATAAAAGCGTTCGATTGTACCACCCCGCAAGCGATCCAGGTTTCAGATTTTCTTGAAGACAGCCTTTTTTTTCAAGGGAGGGCCGTAACCTGGGAAACACCGATTACAGCTATATCTGTAAGCTACTTGAATGGAAATTAATTGCATTGAATTTGTACCATTTATTTATTATAACTGGACCCATACGAAGGAATTTCGTTACTTTTTCACTAGTTGGGAATTTGTATTTCATTTAAGTGATAATATTCCTTTGCATGAGTTCAAATTTTGGTTGCTATAAGGTGTATGTAAATGTGTGAGAACTGATACGTGGCCAGAAGATAGGGGTTTTATTTGTTGTATTTATAGGAAACAAATCAAAATCTAAAATCAGAAAAAGTTAATTGTGATAGAAAAGTTTTTACCAGTGCCGTAGAGGATCAATTTTATTTAATACACTCTTTGTCCACCATATAAACTCGACTTTTTGTTTTGTTGTAGTCAATTATCAGTTACCAACTTTTTCATCCATATTGTGATCTTCGTCTATTGTAGTCAAAGGAAATCTTTTTTGTTCTTGGGAAAAGTAATGTGCAATGAATGCAAACATTGTCGTCGATGGTAACATGGAAATGAGATTCTCAGAGAAATCAGGTCCTCCATTCAAATAATACTGTGCTTCGTCGGCCTCATTTCCTAAATATCTTTCTCAGGGTTAGAATGGTGCTGCATTACCTCAAAATAACCGTCTTCTACTACGTCATCCATACATTCTTGCCACAGGCGATCAAGTATGAAATGTAGATTTAGATTTGATAATGTACAGCGGATATTCACTCACCAAACTCAACTAAATACAGTAAGTTTTGACGCACCCTATATATATATATATAACAAAATGACAAATTATATTTGAAGTTGGCTAACCTTCGTAACACATATAAACATAACCCAAAATTATGACAGTGAGTCATTAAATAATTAATCTTCATTAATAATAAATTATAATTACTAGTTCCAACGATGCAATGTAATAAGGGACACAACAAGAAGGTGGACGATGACACGAACATAAAATCTTACGGCTGCTGTATACTTAATCGTAGGCTGTAGGTCCGATGGTGGATGTAGCGGAGGTGGCTCCGTAAATCAGGTGTGAAGTATAGATAATTGATGGTGGTGGCAAATGAAATGCTATCTTCGTAGTTTGTAGTTTGTCCGGAGACGGCAACCAACCCAACAGATCCGTCCTCGGAGTCACGATATCTTGTATGGACCAACAGGTATAAGATATATTAATCTTGCCGGTGAGGGTAATTATTTGTTGGCTACAAAGGTTGTTTCAATTAGGACAAGCAGAACTGGAGTATTGCATAAAAAGACTTTGGCTAAGCTTACCCATTAAGATGTTAAGGCCAGTAAGTAAACTTCTCGTTCCAAAAAAACTAACTATCGTAGGTATTTCTAAGCTTCCCGAACTCCAACAACTCCAAATCAAAACCCATATTCAGTAAGCTTCCACGGCAGAAGGAGACAAATCCAATTATTCAAAATTGAGGCCAAAAAGCCAAACTCCAAAAGCGTCAGAGAAGATTCTTAAACATGTCTTTAAGCAGGAAACAATCGAGCAAAAGTGACCAGCTCAACTAGCCTTGAAGAGATATGGACAGATAATCTAACATTCCTGACCTACAGTTCACGGAAAATACAATTGCAGGACAACTACAGGATGGTCATAAATCTATGTCAAATAATTTATTAATTAAAAAGGTATAAGTAATCCGCAGACCGTTACAACTCCCCCCCTACTAAATTTCAACTTCATCTGGATTTGGACGTAGATCTTTGGCATGCCAATTACCTTTGAAGGCCTTGGTCTCTGGATCCATTAACTCATATGTACACAAGCCCAATTTCTTTTTAATTACGAAAGGCCCAATAAATTTTGGAGAAAATTTGGCAGTAACGTAGTTTGCTGCATTGGATAACACATAATTTCTTCGCCAAACAGATTGTCCAACCATAAAGTTAGCAGGTCTTTTGCGCAAATCGTAAGTATGCTTACGATGGCTGTAAGCCTTCGTAATCCTACACTGGACATCTTTAAACAATTTTTCTAAACCTATTTTCTTTATATCTACATCCCTATCATAACTATTTACAATTGAATTTAAATTCTTATAATAATTTCCACTAATTACGTGCTCCCTACCAAAAGTAACTAAATACGGAGTATACCCTGTGGTTTCGTGCACAAGGGTGCGAATAGCACAAGTAACGGATGGTAAAAATTGATCCCATTTGCGATGATTCTCGCTTACATAAGCAGAAAGCATTGTTTTAATTACGCGATTAACTCGCTCAGTAGGATTATTCCTGGGATTATAGTATGCATTATAAAGTATTTCCGTATTGTATTTTGCACACAAATTTTGAAATTCTTTATTTTTAAATTGCACCCCATTGTCACAAATTAAATATTCAGGTACTCCAAACAAAAGAAAAACTTCATCCTCCAAATATTTACAAATTGACTTTGATAATGCTTGCCGCAAAGGGCAAGTTAAAACAAATTTGCTAAAGTAATCCGTGACAACTAAAATATAATTAAATCCTTTCAGGCTTCGTGGTAATGGACCAATTATGTCCGTGGATATCATTTGAAATGGTAACTTGACTGAAGGTCGGCTACCCATAAGACCATAAGGTGGCTTCTGTTCTACCTTTGTTGATATACAAGTTGTGCAATTTCTTAGACAAACGGCAATGTCTTTTTTCATTTTAGGCCAATAATAAGTTTTTGCCACTTTAGAAAATGTTTTAAATACGCCAGGATGTCCAGATGTAGGATGGTTATGAATTTTCATTATTAATTCCTTTCTATGTTCCTTAGGCACTACCACTTTCCAACTATCAGAGTCCTCAGTCAACTCTGGTATCCTACAACTAACTAACTTAAATAATTTCCCATTTTCAACATGCCATTCTGGAAATTTAATTGAATTGTCACTAACTTTCCCCAACATATTATTATACCACCTATCTTTTACTTGATCTACTTCAAAATTTAGGTTGTCATCACCAGCACTAATTTCGTCAACTACTGGTACACCTCGAGACAAACAATCCGGAACCTGATGATCTCTTCCTTTCCTATGTATGATTTTAAAGTTATGCTGTTGTACTCTGAGAGCCCACCTATTGAGACGACCACTAGGGTTTTTAAAATTATTAAGCCAAACTAATGAATGGTGATCGGTAATTACATAAACTTCGGGGTGACCTTCTATATACATTCTTAATTTTTCTAGGCTCCAAATCACACTCAAACATTCACGTTCGGTAGTGGTATATGACCGTTCCTGTTTAGTCAGCGAACGACTGTTATAACAAATCACACGCTCCCCATCTTCGTAAGGTTGAGTAAGAACTGAACCTATGCCATATGCACTAGCGTCACATTGGACATAAAATGGTTTACTGAAATCCGGACATGTTAATATAGGTGCACTAATAAGATGTTCTTGGATTTTCCTGAACGACAGATTACACTCCGGGGACCAACAAAATTTGTGGTTCTTCTTTAATAACATGGTAAGAGGATTAGATAAAGTCGCAAAATCGGGAATGAAGCGCCGGTACCAATTCGCCATACCAAGAAACCGTCTCACTTCCTCCACTTTAGAGGGGACAGGGATGTTTAAAATTGCTTGAACTTTATCGGGATCTACTTTGAGACCGTTTTGATCAATGATGTACCCCAGATATTTTAATTGAGATCTGCAGAACTCGCATTTTTCTCTAGAGACTGTTAAACCAGCTGCTATTAATTTGTCAAAAACCTTATTTAAGAGTTCCATATGATGATCAAAGTTAGGCGAGACGAGTATGATATCGTCCATATAAACGAAACAGTAAGGTTCTAATTCCGCCCCAAGTACCTTGTCTATAAGGCGTTGCCAGGTAGCCGGACTATTGGTTAAACCAAATGCCATTTTCTTAAATTGAAAGAGCCCACGCCCTGGAATAGTGAAGGCAGTATATTCGCGACTCGATTCTTTCATGGGTATTTGATAGAATGCCGATTTTATATCTAAAGAACTTAAGAATTTAGCCCCTTTTAATTGATCGAGTATTGCTGACGCGTACGGTAAGGGATAAGCATCTTTCTTCGTGACACTATTTAATTTCCGATAATCTACAACGAATCTATATGTTTTGTCCTTTTTAGGAACTAAGAGGATTGGTGAGGACCATGAACTATTTGACGGTTCAATAATACCTTCAGATAACAATTTAGTGACCTCAGCATCGATATGTTTTTGGATATTAGGAGACACAGGATAATACCTTTGTTTTATTGGACTTGAATTAGTAATAATTTCGTGTTCTACCAGATGCGTGGTACCAACTCCCTCTCCCATAAGCTTAAATTTTTCCGAAACTAATGAATTAAGCTCGACACGTTGATCCTCATTAGAAGTATTTAAAAATTCTAAAGTTTGTACTTCGGTCGGTGGGACAAAGTTCCAAACATCACGATTTAAATCTGGAATTATACCCATGGTTTTCCAAAAATTTAATCCAAGTACTATCGAATGATGTAATTCTGGTAGGATTAAAAATTCTATGAGTTTCATTCGGTCTAATAATTGAACTGGTACTGTTATACTACCAATGATATCACAATGATTACCGTTGGCCAGAGTACAAAATGAACTATCAGTTTTATTTAAGGGAATTTGCATATATTGTAAATTATTCCAGGTAGTCATACTCATCACTGAATGTGTTGCTCCGGAATCTAGTAAACCCAGAAATTTTTGACCAAATATAGACAATTGTAAATACGGTCGTTGATCATTACCTACATGGGATCAAATATAATCTAACACAATTTTGTTCCTATCAAATTCGGTGTCGTTGGTCGATTTTGACATAGTTGAAGAATCTGGACGACCATTCAAGATCTTCTGTTGGCGTTTCCCTGATTGGGATTGCATTTTACACAGTTTTACTAGTAACCTTGGGACAGCCACATTTGTAACAATGGATTCTTTTAGGTTGTCTGCACTGGAGTGCCCTATGGCCAGGATTTTTACAGTTCCAGCACGTTATTTGATCAATAGAAGCGGCACTATGACTGCTAATTGGTGAATTATCTAAAGTTGCTGTAGATGAACAAGGTGTGATTGAAAATGCGGCAAAATCTGGTTCGACCCAATCTGATTTTTTCCTTGTAGGAGGGACATAATTTTCTGTTCGATACCTCTTGGTTTCGAGTATCAAACATTCTTCTTCCAACTCTAATAATGAATGAACAGGCGGCAGTTGCATTGTATAAAATGGAGCAAGGTTGCGAGCAATTATTCCTAACTGAATGTCTTCAGGTACATGACCATAACGTCTAAATAAAGAAGTCATGCAAGCAAAATAATCGACAAAGCGCTCGTTTACATCTTGAGTACGATTCATGATCTCTTGGAACAATCGAGGTTTATAATCGGGTGGCTCATAGTGTTTACGTAAAAGTTCACTAAGAGAAGACCAACTAGTAAAGCGGTGTTTGTTCGACCTATACCATAAAAGTGCCTTACCATCAAATAAGTCAATGGAGCTATTGTACAATTCTTGTTCGGTTACGTTGCGAGCTACGCGGAGTTCATCCACACGTTCTAAAATAGTATATTATATTATGAGGAGCTAAAGTGATACTTTTTATGGCGAGTCAGTGTTTGATGGCCGAGCGAAGCGAGGCCAGCAAAATACTGACGAGCCATAAGAAGTTACTTTAGCTCCGCATAATATATGCTATTTTTTCTTCAAACGTGAGAATAACGCCCAAATAATGGTTTTCAAATCGGAAGAAATATTAACCCGATCGTTATGGGTAGCCGTGAGCGCGTCGGCCGTGGTGACTATAACAATTGCTATAGTTGGCCATTATTAGTTTTGACGTTTTAATTGTGGACGAGTTTTTCGATTTCAAATAAAAATGAAATTGCACAAAAAATACTTTCGACAACTTTAGAAAATCCAGGTTTATCAGATGGAATGACTTCAACTACTCCTTCATTTGAAGCAGAAACCAATCCAGTTTTTTGAAAATACTTCATTCATTCATTAGAAATAAGACGAGCCAAACAAAACTTGACTCTTCAAAACTTGGATGCTGCAGGAACGAAGGTTTAATTTCAATAATGGTAATATGACTAACTGAACTTTCAACATTAACTATTATTTAAATAAATAAATAGCTTCTTTGATCGACTATATTTTTATTTCTGTTAAAATCAGAAGGAAAGATCAACGCACTTGCTAGGTGAACCAAGAACCTAATGTAAATAACATCAACTTGTCAAAGCAAAACAATGTGACACTGGCACTGAAGCGTTTTATTGCCTAGGCACTAAAATACTTCACTGCCGCTTGTTCGATTGTTCTAAAAAGTCAAACTTTAACTCAGAGTGCTGGGCTACGTAATGTCAATATTATATGACGTTTGAAGAAAAAATTATTTAGCGACCAGTCTTTAGAATCTCCAGTGAATTTTATATTCCATTTTTGGACAGGAAGTGACTTTTTAAACGATTTTTGAGGGGTTGATGTGTTTTCGGGACTAGAAGTTTCAGAGTCTGAGCTGGATGTTATTTCTAGAAGCTGTGAACTGACATCAGCACTTTTCGAGCGAAGTTTTTTAAATTTTTCCAATAGTTCAACAAATTTTACCAGATTTTCGGAAATAGTTTGATTTTGTTCATCCGTACTAGCTATCGATTTTAATCTGTCTGTTCTATGAAGATAGTGCGTAATTTGAGAAAAAATGCGATTCGGTTTTACTTTAGTTTTACCGGTACGAAATTTATCGACAAGAGCCTCCAATTCTACTAACTTATTTGCAATAGTTTCTAATTCGGAGTCAATTTTTAAAGTCTCAATCTTGCTTTTTAATTTACTACCAGTTTTTTCTAAACCTAAGAGAGATCTCAAAATATTTCGCAGTTCGTCGACTGTAACGGAAGCTTGCGACGTAATTCCCCTAACTAGTAATTCATATTCAAGTTCCTCCTTTTTCAAATAATTAATTTCATACTTTAATTGTGACATGTTGAAAATTCCTAATCTAAATTCCCTAAAACTAAACCTAAACGTAACGTACCTAATCTAATTAACTACCTAACAAGAAAATCTTCACCAAAAAAAAAATATTCCGAAAGGAATGGTATATAGAAGAATCCCAAGAATCCTATCAACACTATCAATATTACCCTTAAACAAAATACAGAAAAGCACAAGACGAAATACACGTTGGGCGCCGTAAGTGACTAAGCAAATGATAAAAAGTAAGTTCATTTAATAGGGGACTTGAAATTGTTTATGTTTATCTTTGGCAACTTTATTCTTATAGGTGCCCATTTAATACATGTATTTATTTTAATATTTTATTACGGCTGCTGGTAGGGGCCCACCAGGGGCCTTGCGGAGCACTAAAGCTCCGCGGAACCCACTGTCAGTAGCGCTGCACTAAACCAACGTCTGGTTTACATGAGTCGAGTAACTCGGCCGAGTACGAGGCGAGTTAGAAAAAGCATGCACGCACAACTCGGACAGTGTAAACAGTTTAATGAGTAAATTGTCGAGTACACGAGCGAGTATGGGGCGAGCGAGTGGTTTATTTTTTAGCATAGTTTTTCGCTCACCACTACCCCATCTTGAACTTTACTTGAACTCGTATGCACTCACCCTGTGCAAACTGCTAGGATAGTCCGAGCCGAGTATCAGTACAGTTGCAGCGTTTACGGATAGTTTTTGTTGTCAGGTGTTTAAAATTACAAATAAAGCGTTATTAAAATAGCAGTGGAAATGAAGTGGGACGAGGAAGAAACTTTTAAATTTGTCGAGCTATATCGCGAGCATGAATGTTTTTTATGACCAAAACTAAGAAGACTATATAATTTTGCAGTATGGTTCATTTAGTTTTGCTAATAACCGAAAAATCCAGTCAAATTACAGGTTGGGGTGGATGTTGAATCCGCTGAATCCGAAAATCATGGTCTCCGTGGCCGGAAACTCCCGGAACATATTGTTATAAACAAAAACCGAAGAAAAAATGGCAAAATGTCGTTTCTTTTTGCATTTGACTTCAATTATCTCGTTAACTATTGCTGAAATGAATTTGTTTAGCATTGAATTTTCCATGGAACGTTCATTTTCAAAAGTTATTGTTTTTTATGGAAAAATATAAAATAGTAATCCCAAAAATTAACAATTTATTATTACTAAGTAAAATTCATCCGATCATTTTGAAAATCCGTATATTTTTCCACTTCTTTTGATAACAAAATCCGATCACCATAAGTTTTAAGTTTTTTTAATGTTTATTTAATTAATTCTAAGGGAAAAAATGAAGAGAAATTAGTTTTTTTTAATAAAATTTTTTATAAGATATATACCTACAGTTGGTATTGAACCTTCATTTTCAAATGTTATTGTGTGAAAAATATAAAAAAGGAATCCCGAACATTATCAATCTGTTTTTACTAAGCAAAATT